CCCGCTTCTCCCTCTGCCTGTGTCTCTGCCTCCCTCTCTCTCTCTGTGTGTGTCTCTCATGAATAAATAAAAATAAAATCTTTTAAAATAAAATTTAAAAAATTTTAAAAACACAAGAAAAAATGTAGAAAGACCACAAATACATGGAGATTAAATAACATGTTACTAAACTATGAATGGGTCAAGCAAAAAATAAAAGAAGAAATTAAAAAGTACAAGGAAACTAATGAAAATGAAAACACAATGGTCCAAAACCTTTGGGATGCAGCAAAAGTGATTCAAAGAGGGAAGTATATATAGCAGTACAGGCATATCCTAAGAAGCAAAAAAAAAAAAAAAATCTCAAACAACTTAACCTTACACCTAAAGGAGTTAGAAAAAGAACAACAAACAAAACCTAAAATCAGCAGAAGGAAGGAAATAATAAATATTAGAGCAGAAATAAATGATATAAAAACTAAAAAATAGAACTAATCAATGAAACCAGAATCTGATTCTTCAAAAAAATCAATAAAACTGATAAATATCTAGCCAGACTTATCAAGAAAAAAAGAGAAAGGACTCAAAGAAAATCACAAAGGAGAGAGAAGAAATAACAACCAACACCTCTGATATATAAGCAAGTATAAGAGAATGTTGTGAAAAACTATATGCCAACAAATTTGACAACCTAGAAGAAATGAATTCCTAGAAACATGTAAATTACCAAAACTGAAACAGAAAAAGATAATTTGAGCAGACTAATAATCAGCAAAGAAATTGAATCACTAATCAAAAAACTCACAAAATACAAAATCTAGGACCAGATGGCTTCACAGCCAAATTATACTAAGCATTTAAAGAAGAGCTTTTCCCCTAATGGAAGGAACACGACAGGGATGTCCACTCTCACCACTTTTCAACATAGTACTGGACGTCCTAGCCACAGCAATCAGACAACAAAAAGAAATAAATGGCATCCAAATTGGCAAGAAAGAAGTAAAACTTTCACTATTTGCAGATGACTTGATATTCTATATAGAAAACCCAAGGAGCATGTGGGTGGCTTAGTCAGTTAAGCATCCAATTCAGTTTCGGCTCAGGTCATGATCTCAGGGTAATGAAATCAAGCCCCACATCAGGCTCTGTACTGAGCACAGAGTCTTCTTGAGGTTCTCTCTCATTCTCTGCCCCTTTCCTGTTCTCATGTGCTCTCTCTCTCTCTAAAAATAAGTAAATAAAATTTAAAAGAAGAAAACCCAAAACACCCCACCAAGAAACTGCTAGAACTAATAAACACATTCAGTGAAGTCACAAGATATAAAATCAAGGTACAGGAATCTGTTCCAGTTCTATATACCAATAATGAAGCAGCAGAAAGAACAATTAAGGGGTCAATCCCACTTTCAACTGCACCAAAAATAATAAGGTACTTAGGAATAAACCTAAACAAAGAGGTAAAAGATCTGTACTCTGAAAACTATAAAACACTGATGAAAGAAATTAAAGATGACCCAGAAATGGAAAGACATTCCATGCTCATGGATTGGAAGGACAAATATTGTTAAAATGTCTATACTACCCAAAGCAATCTACATATTTAATACAATCCCCATCAAAATACCATGAGCATTTTTCACAGAACTAGAACAAACAATTCTAAAATTTTTATGGAACCACAAAAGACTCCATATAACCAAAGCAATCTTGAAAAAGAAAAGCAAAGCTGGAGCTATCACAATGGACTTCAAGTTACATTATAAAGCTGTAGTAATCAAAACTGCATGATACTGGCACAAAAATAGACAATAGGTCAATAGAACAGAATAGAAAGCCCCCAAATAAACCCACAACTATATGGTCAACTAATCTTTGACAAAGCAGGAAAAAATATCCAGTGGGAAAAAGACAGTCTCTTCAACAAGTGGTGTTGAAAAACTGGACAGCAACATGCAAAAGAAAGAAACTGGATCACTTTCTTACACCAGACACAAAAATAAATTCAAAATGGGGCACCTGGGTGGCTCAGTTGGTTAAGCATTGCACTCTTGATTTTGGCCTAGGTTACAATTTCAGGGTCCTTGGATCAAGACCCACACCAGACTCCATGTGTAGCAGGGTTTTCTTGCTCCCTCTTCCTCTGCCCTACCCCTGCTTGTGCTCGTTCTCTCTCTCTCTCTCTCTCTTTAAAATAAATAAGTAAATATTTTTTAAAAATTAAAAAATAGGAGTGCCTGGGACTCAGTTGGTTAAGCAACTGCCTTTGGTCAGGTCATGATCCCAGAGTCCTGCGATCGAGCTCCATGTCTGACTCCCTACTGAGCAGGGAGCCTACTTCTCCCTCTCCCTCTGCCCCACCCCCTGCTCATGCTCTTGCTCTCTCTCTCAAATAAATAAATAAAATCTTTAATTTTTTTTAACTTTAAAAACTAAAAGAAATAAATTCAGGGGCACCTGGATGGCTCAGTTGGTTGAGCATCTGCCTTTGGCTTGGGTTGTGATCCTAGGACCCTGGGATCAAACCCAGCATTGGGCTCCTTGCTCAGTAGGAAGCCTGCTTATCCCTCTCCCTCCGGCTCCCCCTCATATGTTAACTAACTGTGCTCTCTCTGTCAAATAAACAAATCAAATCTTTAAAAAAAATTCAAAATGGATTAAAGATCTAAATGTGAGACTTGAAACCATAAAAATCCTAGAAAAAACAAGGCAGTAACCTCTGACATCGGCTGTGGCAACTTTTTTCTAGATATGTTTCATGAGGCAAGGGGGAAAAAGCAAAAATAAATTATTGGGACTACAAAATAAAAAGCTTCTGTACAGTGAAAGAGACAATCAACAAAATGAAAGAGCAATCTACAGAATGGGAGAAGATATTTTTAAGTGACATATCCAATAATGGGTTAGTATCCAAAATATATAAAGAACTAATACAAATCAACACCCAAAAACCAAATAATCAAATTTAAAATGGGCAGAAAACATGAACAGACATTTCTCCAAAGAAGACATACAGATGGCCAACAGACACATGAAAAGATGTTCATCACTTACCATCGGAGAAATGCAAATTAAAACCACAATGAGATATCACCTCACACCTGTCAGGATGGCTAAAATCAACAACAAAAGAAACAGCAGGTACTGATGAGGATGTAGAAAAAAAAGAGCCCTGTTGCACTGTTGGTGGGAATGCAAACTGGTGCAGCCAATATGGAAAACAGTATTGGCAGTTATTCAAAAAGTTAAAAATAGACCTACCTTATGATCCAGCAATCACACTACTAAGTATTTACCTAAAGGATATGAAACACTAATTCAAAGGGATACACGTGCCCTGATGATTATAGCATCAGTATTTACAATAGTCAAGATATGGAAGCAGCCCAAGTGTCTTTTGATTGATAAATGGATAAAGAAGAGGTTAGGGGCACCTGAGTGGCTCAGTCAGCATCATACTCTTCATCTCACCTCAGGTCTTGATCTCAGGGGTCATGAGTTCAAGCCCCACATTGGGCTCTAAGTTTTTGGAGCCTACAGACTAAAAAAAAAAAAAGAGGTTGTGTATGTATACAATGGAATATTACTCAGCCATAAAAAGAATGAAACCCTACCATTTGCAACAACACGGATGGAGCTAGAGAGTATTATGCTAAGTGAAACAAGTCAATCAGAGAAAGACAAATACCATATGACTTCATTCATATGTAGCATTTAAGAAACAAAACAAACAAGCAAAGGGTAAAAATAAGAGAGAGAGAGAAATCAAGAAACAGATTCTTAATTACAGGGAACAAACTGATGGTTACCAGAGGGGTTAAATAGGTGATGAGGATTAAGGGAGTGCACTTGTGGTGATGACCTCCAGGTGATATATGGAAGTGTGAATCACTATATTGTACACCTGGAACTAATATAACATTGTATATTAACTAACTGGAATTAAATAAAAACTTAAAAAATGAATAACTACTGATAAACACTACAGCCTGGATAGATCTTCAAGGAATTATCCTTTTAAAAATCCCTTAAAAGTTATATACAATATGATTTAATTTATAGAACTTTCTTGAACCATTAGAATTCTAGAGATATAGATTAATGGTTACTAGGGGTTACAAAACTGGAGGAGGGGAAAGTGAGCGTGGGTATAAAGGGGTAATAGGAAGGATCCTTGTGGTGATGGCACTCTTCTATATCTTGATTGTGGTGGTCCTCATGCAAATCTACACATATGGTAAAATATTTATAACTAAATAAACACACATATATATGCACCACATGTAAAACTGGTGAAATCTGAATATTGTAGATATATCAATGTCAATTTCTTGATTGCAATGTTGTATTATATTTCTGCAAATTATTACCATTGGGGTAACTAAGTACAAGATAGACTGGGATCTTTCAGAGTTATTTCTTAGTAACTGCATATGAACCTACAATTATATAAAAATAAGAACTACAGACTAAAAACTACAAGTACTGTAGAGAGAAATGGATGAAATAATGAAATAAATGGAGATATACCTTGCTCATGGATTGGGAGATTCGATATTGTTAAGATGTTAATTCTTCCTAAATCCAGTGACAGATTCAACACAATCTCAGTCAAAATTCCAGAGAAACTTTTTAAATAGAAATCGAAAGCATGTAAGTATCTAGAATATTCAGAAGAACCTTACAAAGGAACAACAAAGTTGGAAAGTCTACATTACTTCATTCCAAGGCTTATAGTAAAGCAACAGTAATGAAGAAAGTGTGGTATCGGCACAGTGACAGAAATATACCAATGGAGGGGATGTCTGGCTGGCTCAGTCACTGGAGCATGTGACTCTTGATCTTGGGGACAGACGTTCCAGTCCCACGTGTGTGATTACTGAAAAATAAAATCTCCCCAAAAAAGAAATATGCCAATGGAACAAAATTGAGACCTGCATGTTATGTATATACAGACATCTGATTATAGACAAAGATTTAAAGGAAGATTATAGGGGAAATAAACTTTCAAAAACTGAGTCTAGGCCCGCCCCCCCCCGCCCTCGGGGCTCAGTCGCCCGCGCTCTCCCCGCACTCGGCCAGCGGCCCCCCGGCCGGAGTCATGGGGGGGCCTCTTGGGGCGCGCCGCACTGCCCGGGCTGCTGAGTGGCCCTCGGTCCCCGGGCCGAGCCTGCTCACGCCCCAACTCGGGAGGGTCCTCCTGGACTCGAGAGCGGACCCTGGTTGCAGTGGAGCCAGATGGGGTGCAGCGGCGGCTTGTGGGGGGTGTGACCCAGCGCTTCGAGAGGAGGGGCTTCAAGCCAGTGGGGGTGAAGATGCTGCAGACGCCGGACAGAGTCCTTGCTGAGCACTACCATGACCTGCAGACGAAGCCCTTGTACCCAGCCCTCATCAGCTACAGGACCTCTGGCCCCGTGGTGGCCATGGTCTGGGAAGGCCCCAATGTGGTCTGCTCCCTGAGGACAGTGATAGGGCACACCGACTCGGCTGAGACCGCCCCCGCACCATCGGGGGGCTCAGCGTCCACATCAGCAGGAACATCATTCACGCCAGCGACTCCGTGGAGGGGGCCCCGAGGGACAGCCAGCTATGGTTTCAGAGCAGCGAGCTGGTGCACGGGGCAGACGAAAACCACCAGAGCAGCATCTATGCGGCCTGAGCACTCGGGCTGCCCTCAACCACCCCAGCAGCCACCCAGGATCAACTACCTCTGTCGTCCAGACCCCGAGCCCACACCCACAGTCTGCCCTTCTGTCCCAGACCCCGTCTACCTTCTGCTCCACCTACCCCGAGGAACTGAACAACCAACTCTATGTGCCTTTTACTATCCTGAGCCAGGAAGAAATTGGACCAAATCCTTTCCATACCAAACTGCGCCAGACAACCTTTGGGGTGTCTCCAAAAGTATGTAGCGTAAGCGCCCTTACCCAAAGGGGTGTGGGACATTAGCATTCACTGTGTTGTGGAGGGCGTGGGTCGTTTATTACAGTTTCTGCCATCTCTAAGATTAGGGATGAGGACTTCATGCAAAGTAGTAAGAGTTTGAGAGTAGAAAAAAAGCTTACCCGCTCACACACACACACACACACACACACACACACACACACACACACCTGAGCCTAGAAAAATTAGATACCCTTATATAAAAATAAATAAATAAATTTTGATCTATACTTCACACCATACAAAAAGTTAAACCAAAATGGATCACAAAACTAAATGTAAAACCTAGAACTATGAAACTTCCAGAAAAAGGAGAAAATATTTATTAATTTGAGTTATTGATCAATTTTTAGATACATCAAAAAGCACAATCTAGTAGTGAAATAAAATTGATAAATTAGACTTCATTCGAATAAACTAATCTTTGAAAGGCACTATTAAGGGGTGGGTGGGTGGCTTAGTCAGCTGAATGTCTAATTCTTGGTTTCCGTTCAGGTCATGGTATCATGGGTAATGGGATCAAGCTGGTGTCAGGTTCCACACTCAGCAAAGAGTCTGCTTGAAGATTCTCTCCTTCTGCCCTTCCCCATGTGCATACTTGCACACACACACTCTCTCAAATAAATAAATCTTTTTTAAAAAGGCACTATTAAGAGAGTTAAAAGACAAGCTAGAGTCCTGGAGAAAATATTTGCCAGTCACATATTTATAAAGGACTTGTACTGACAATGTGTAAAGAGCTCTCAAACCCAGTAATAAGGAATCAAACAATCCAATAAAAAGTAGGAAAAGAATTTATTTTTTTATGATTTTATTTATTCATGAGAGAAACAGAGAGAGAGAGAGGGGCAGAGACACAGGCAGAGGGAGAAGCAGGCTCCATGCAGGAAGCCCAATGTGGGACTCGATACCGGGTCTCCAGGATCAGGCCCTGGGCTGAAGGCAGACACTCAGCTTCTGAGCCACCTGGGCATCCCAGGAAAAGGATTTAAATAGTCACATAACCAAAAGAGATACACAATAGCAAAAAAGTCACATGAATAGATGCTCAGCATAATTTTTTTGTTAGGGAAATGCAATAAAACCACAATGAGAGATACAACAAGTCTATAAGAATGCCTAAAGTTGAAAAGGCTAACCCCAAGTGTTGGGGAGGATGTGAAGCACTGAAACTTTCATACACAACTTGTTAAAACATGAAATGATACAATCATTTTGGAAAATAGTTGAGCATTTCTTAAAAAGTTAAACATACACCTACCATATGATCCAGCCATTCCACTCCTAGATTTTTACCAAAGAGAAAGGAAAATAAATGTCCACACAAAGATTTATATATACATGTTCACAGAAGCTTTACTTATAATAGCCAATACTGGAAACAACCCAAAAAGGAGGTGCATAGGCCAATTGTGGTATGTCCACATGATGTAATACTACTCAGAAATAAAAAGGAATGAAGTATTGATGTACCTACTGAAGACTTAGCTCCCCCTATGCTGGTGACTTTCACCTCTCTAGAAAATTTCCTCCTTGGAGCACCTGGGTGCTCAGTTGGTAAAAAGTGGCTGACTCTTGGTTTTGGCTCAGGTCATGATCTTATGGTCCTAGGAACAAGCCCCCACTCAGCAGGGAGTCTCCTTGAAGATTCTCTCTCTTCCTCTTCCTCTCCTCCTACACTGTCTCACACACTCTCTCTAAAATAAATACATCTTAAAAAGAAAAAAAAAGAAAATTTCCTCCTTAACCCAATTCAAGATCAATTATTTCTTTACTCTGGATTTCCTAGTACTTTTATATTACATATGCACTTTTTCAAAAAGTGCACACAGTAATATATTGCTTATTAATTCAGTATAAAGCCACAAATCTGCATTCCTCTCTCATGTATACTGATTCACAAGATAACTAAAGCTGGGACACCTGGGTGGCTCAGTCAGTTGAGTGTCTGCCTTTGGCTCAGGTCATGATCCCAGGGTCCTGGGATCGAGCCCCATGTCACCCCATGTCAGAATCCCTGCTTGCTGGGGAGCCTGCTTTTCCCTCTCCCTCTGTTCCTCCCCCAACCCCTCCCCCTGCTAGTGCTTTCTCTCACTCTGATCTCAATCTCTCTCTCTCAAATAAATAAATAAAATCTTAAAAAAAAAAACTTCTCATCATAGAACATTCCACCTAACAACTGCAGAATATATATACCTTTCAAATATACCAGGAACATGCATCTAGGTAAACCATATTATAGGCTATAAAAGAATTCTCAGTAAATTTCAAGTGATTCAAATCATATGGAGTATATTTTCTAGCCAAAAGAATGAATTTAAATTAGAACTCAAAAACAGAACAACCATGTAGAACACTAAATATTCAGAAATTAAGCAACACAAATTTAATAATCCGTGGATCAGGGGATCCCTGGGTGGCTCAGTGGTTTAGCGCCTGCCTTCAGCCTGGGGCGTGATCCTGGAGACCCAGGATCAAGTCCCACATCGGGCTCCCTGCATGGAGCCTGCTTATCCCTCTGCCTGTCTCTCTCTCTCTCTCTGTGTGTGTGTGTGTCCCTCATGAATGAATAAATAAAATCTTAAATAATAATAATAATAATAATAATCATCATCATCATCATCATCTGTGGGTCAAAGGAGAAATCACATAAGATATTAGAAAATATCTGAACTGAATGAAAATGAAAAATATCAAAATTTAAGGATTTCAGGTAATGCACTATTTGATGGAAGATATATAGCTTTAAATGCTTATATTAAAAAATAAAAGGAGCTCCTGGGTGGCTCAGTTGGTTGGAAATCCAACTCTTGATCTTAGCTCAGGTCATGGTCTCAGGGTCGTGGGATCATATATATACATATATATATGACAACCCATTAAGATGGCAAACCTAAATAAATGGAGAAAAATACTGTGTTCATAGATTGCAAGACTCAGCATACTAAAGCCATCAACTCTTAAATTAATATATAGGTTTAATGCAAATCCATAAAAATTTCAGCAAGGTTTTTTTGTAGATAATAGACACACTTATTATAAAATTTATGTGGAAAGGCACAAGCCTTAGAATAGCTAAAATAATCTTGAATAATAAAAGAATCATGAAGGAGGAATCACTCTACCTGATATTAAGCCCTACTATATAGCTACAGTAATCAAGACAGTGTGACTCTGACCAATGGAACAGAATAAAGAACTCAGAAATAAACTCATGCAAATGTGCCCAACTGATTTTTGACCAAGGCATAATAGGAATGATAGTCTTTTCCAAAAATAGTGCTAGAGTAATTGGACATCCATAGGCAAAAAAGTTATAATAATAAACTTAAAAAGATTATTGACCGGGGCTCCTGGGTGACTTAGTAGGTTAAATATGTGCCTTTGTTTCAGGTCATAATCTCAGGGTCCTGCAATTGAGCCCTGCATCAGGCTCTCTACTCAGTGAGGAATCTGTTTCTCCCTCTCCCTCTGTTCTCTCTCTCTCTCTCTCTCTCTCTCTCTCTCTCTTTCTCTCTGTCTCTCTCTCTCCCTTTCTCAAATAAATAAAATATTTAGAAAAATCATTTACCTAACCCTTATACCTTATACAAGAATTAACTCAAAATGGAACAGAGACTTAAATGTAAAATGTAAAACTAAAACTTTTAGGATAAATTTATAGAAACTTTTGAAAATGTCTGAAAACTTCTAAAAATTTTTTTCAAAACTTTGAGGAAAAAGAAATGGGAGGAAAGCTTCAGGATCTAGGGCCAGACAATGTGTTCTTATGCTTAACACCAAAAGCAAGATTCATAAAAGGCAACATCAATGAATTGGACTTCATCAAAATGAAAAACTTTTGTTCAGTGAAAGTCCATGTAAAAAGGATGAAAAGACAATCTATGGAGAAAATATATCCAACAAAAGACAAGAATCTAGAATATATAAAAACTCTCAAAAGTTAGCAGTTTAAAAAAGCAGATAATCCAACTAGAAAATGGTGTATCCCTATGGTATACTTCTTTTTTTGAGAGAGAAAGAGAGAATGTGTGCAAGTGGTGGAGGCCAGAGGAAGAGAGAGAATCCCAAGCAAACTCCCCACTGAGCATGGAGCCCACTGCAGGACTCAATACCACAACTCTAAGACCATGACCTGAGCCAAAGTCAAGAGTTGGATGCTCAACTGACTGAGCCATCCAGGTGCCCCTCTCTATGGTATACTTCTTTTTGTTTTTAAGATTTTATTTGGGCAGCCCCGGTGGTGCAGCGGTTTAGCGCCGCCTGCAGCCCAAGGCGTGATCCTGGAGACCCTGAATCGAGTCCCACGTCAGGCTCTCTGTATGATGTCTGCTTCTCCCTCTGCCTGTGTCTCTGCCTCTCTCTCTCTCTCTGTCTCTATGAATAAATAAATAAAATCTTTTTAAAAAAATTTATTTATTTATTCATGAAAGACTCAGAGAGAGAGGCAGAGACACAGGCTGAGGGAGAAGCAGGCTCCTTGCAGGGCACCCAGTGTGAAACTCGATCCCAGGACCCAGGGATCATGCCCTAAGTTGAAGGCAGGCACTCAACCCTGAGCCACCCAGGCATCCCTCTATGGTATACTCCTAACCAAAAGCATAAAGGGTACTGGCTGGCTCAGTCAGAAAAGCATTCAAATCTTGATCTTGGGGTCATGAGTTCAAGCCCCACCCTAGGTGTAGAAATTACTAAAAGAAAATAAATAATAATATT